CATACCTGAAAGGTTTCCAATAACAGTTGATTTGGTGGTAACTCAATCACACAAAAACCACAACAAAAAGACACAACTATCAGAGATATTCAGGATCGCCTCAAAAACACCATCTAACATTAGGGAGCTAAAAAAGGCGTGAACTTTCAAAAAGCTGAGCTTTAATGAAACATCATTTGCATAAACTGGTAATGTAATACTATGAATAAATCCCAGGGCAGGTGGCAGCATGGAGAGACCGAAGCACAAGTGCTGAGTTTGGAAGCTTTGGTTGCTGTACCCTTTGAAGCCGCCCCCTGGTCCTCGCACCCCCTGCCCGCCCATTAAGCCCATCCTGGGGAGCACATCAGGAGCAAACAGCCCAGATGTCCAGTTGCAGAGAGACCTCCACGCCTGGAGCAGGAGGCCGCCTCTGGGAGCAGGAGGAGCTGCTGGAACCCTTTCTCACAGGCTTCTTTTCCTGCTCTCATAGGAGACAAGGCTGACTCTGTGAGCAGGAGTTGCTGCTGGAACCCTTTCCTGCAGGCTTCTTTTCCTGCTCTCAAGCACCTCCTGTGCGCAGATAGATACTCCCAGCACTGGCAGAATGCAAAGGTCCTGCTGCACCTAGGATGTGGCTCTGGTGAATAAAATAAGCCTCTTTCCAGTGAGGTAGGTGAGCCGAGGCTGCATACCCTGCTCTCTGACTGCACGGCTCCCACCATGCCCGGGACTAGGGGCAGTGTGGGAGCTGCTGTCTCGGGTGGTGCTGGCCACCCCCTCTCTATCTCCAGCCACGCTGTCAGCTCCAGGGCTGAGGCCAGTGGCTACGGCAGGTGGCCTGAGGTCGGGCAGCTCCTCACTGGGCTGGTCCTTGGCTGTACCGGTGCACGGGCCGGAGGGCTCTGGAGCTGCCTCTAGCTGCAGCGCTGTCTCTAGAGGGGGCCCTCCCTGTGCTGTGGGCTCTGGCTCCACAGCGGGCGCTGGAAGTTCCTCTCTCTCTGCACATGGCGCAGGAGCTGAAAAAGGGGAAACGGTCACCCATGTCAGTCACTTTCCATTGGAATTTCCAAACATGGAAACCACCTCACTGAATTTAAAGGAATTCCAGTCCTCAAACACCTCTATCTCCAGCCATGTTCTCAGCTCCAGGGCTGAGGCCAGTGACTACGGCAGGTGGCCTGAGGTCGGGCAGCTCCTCACTGGGCAGGTCCTTGGCTGTACCGGTGCAGGGCCCCGAGGGCTCTGGAGCTGCTGCTCTAGCTGCAGCATGGCCTCTGGAGGGGCCCCTCCCATGCTGTGGGTTCTGGCTCCACAGAGGGGCGCGGGAAGTTCCCCTCTCTCTGCACGTGCGGCAGGAGCTGAAAAAGGAGAAAGATCACCAACGTCAATCACTTTCCTCTGGAATTTCCAAACACAGAAACAACCTCACTGAATTTAAAGGAATTCCAGCTGAAAAGCACCAACCCCACAAAGCCTTCCAGACTGCAGGCCACCTCACCATGTGCCTGTGCCCGTATAGGCTCCCGAATCTCCTCTTGGACAAGGACAACGTGCAGATGCAGGCCCGATGGGATCTCCGGTGAGGTGAGGCTGCCCTGTGGTACCTGGGTGCGCGTTTTTACAAAGGGCCACAGGCGTCTGGGGTGAGGGATAAGCCTTCGTCAGCATCGTCGGAAAAGGCTCTTCTGCCATTCCTGAAGGCGCAGCCTTGGGAAGTGGGGATGCAACATGAGAACATCTCTCTCTTTTGAGCGTCTCTCACCAAGTAAGCTGGCCACAGGGCTGACTCTAGGATATGGGCACCTGGTTACTAGAGTTCTAAGTTCTGTTCGGGTCTGTCATCAAGTAAGTGAGTTTGCTTCTTTAAGTTTCCATCCCCACGGCCCCTTCCCTCCGTAAGACCTACTCAGGACTCCACTGGGCTACTGACTGCTCACCCTCCTCCAAGGTCAACTCCTTACCTAGACACCGTTATGTCCACTCAGGGCCTGCTTGGACACCTGCACCTAATGTTCACCAGGGGCCGGATGTCCTCCTCAGGCCTGATGTCCACCTAGGGCCTGATGTCCGCCTTGGGCTTGTGTCCCACTTGGGGCCTGGTGTCCACCGGGGCCTGATGTCTGTCTGGAGGACTGATGTCCTCCTGAGGTGGGAGGATCTCTGGAGCCCAGGAGGTCGAGGCTACAGTGAGCCGTGATTGTGCCACTGCCCTCTAGTCTGGGTGACAGAGTGAGACCCTGTCTCAAACAAATAAACAAAAAACCACACAAATTATATAGTTATACAAAAATATTTTCTTTCTTTTTAACCTTATTCTATGAGCTTTTTTCTATTATTTATTTATTTTACTTTTAAAACCTTTTTTTAAAAACCAAGACACAAACACACACATTTGCCTAAGCCTAAGCAGGTCAGGAGCATCAATATCACTGTCTTCTACCTCCACATCTTGTCCCACTGGAAGGTCTTCAGGGGCAGTAACAGGCATGGAGCTGTCATCTCCTTGATAATAATGCCTTCTTCTGGAAACCTCCTGAAGGACCTGCCCGAGGCTGCTTCACAGTTAACTTAAAAAAAGAGTAGTAAACATATACTCTAAAATAACAATTTAAAAGTATATGATATTAAATACATAAAACATTAACATCATTTATTATTTTCATCAAGCGTTATGCACTATACATAATTGTATGTTCACACCCACATCACCACAAACACATAAGCTCTGTGGTGTCCAATAAATCTGCCTTTCTTTACCTACAACTGTCTTGGTAAATTCTTTCACCACCCATGGCACCATCTCAGAGAGTCGCTGCTCCCCTGTGACATGGAGTAAGGAGGATGTATAGCTGACACCACCCAGGAATATTCCCTGAGGCCAAGCTCAGGCCACAGATTATGGTGAAGTCTCCAACTTCCACACTGTAAGCCACCAGGGCACCCAGTTACCAGGCCCCAGGGAGCATCTATGGGTCAGGCACTTGCAGAGGCCCCAGGGTATACCCCAGCACACCCTTTCCACACCCAAAACCCCAGGCATGTATAGGGGATCCACACTGTCGCCCACAAACACCAGGTAATGCATGAGGGGAAGGGAGGCTACCTTGAGAATAAGCACTGCCTCACTACCTAAAAGCATTCTGTCATCATGAGGGTGAACCAGAGATTGATTCAACTGGCCGTTTAATCCATCACTTTGGCCCTTGAGTTAGTAACATTGATGGAACTGTTCAAAGTTACTAACTTTGGGTTTTCTGCCCACGTAACTGCCGGAAGCTAAGATGGGAACATCAGTGTCAGTCAAATAAAGCAACATGCGTTAACTTAGTGACCGCTGCACAAGCTCACCAGTACATCCTTCTGGTGCCACTAGGATGCCACTTACTCCTCTACATAAGAGAAAATATTTTTAAAGTGGAATATGAATTGTTGCTTTTTATGGAGATGTCATTATTAAATTTTATAATTGCCCTGCTTTTTCAAAGTATGACATATAAACAATTCAAGATCATTAAATCTTATGAAATAATTTTTATATACATTATCTGCTGGGTTGAATATTACATAAATCTTCTCCAACCCAGGTAGTCTTACAAAGACAGAGGCATATTTTTTAAATTACTGAGTTTGATATCAAACACTATAAAGGCTGTTAAGCATGCTGAGATGGATTTGCTTAATAGATGTCAAACCGGCCTGCTTTCACAGGAAGGGCATACAGCCGCTGCACTCACACTGGACAATTTATTTGTGTGTCTGTGGATAAGATGTAAAGAAAAACAGTGAATAACTTCCAAAGCAGTGAAAACCTTGCAGCTGAGCTCTGGAATTCTTAGTAGAAACCATGAAAAGGGAATGAAAACAGTTAAGAGCAATTGCAGGTTAGAAACTGGGATTCACAGGAGGTTAACGGAGCACATTGTGTTAAGTGAAATGAGTCAGGCACAAAAAGACAACTACCACGTGATCTGACTTACGTGGAATGTCAAACAATTGAACTCACAGAAGCAGAGAGTAGAATGGAGGTTACCAGGGGCTGGGAGGCAGGGGTTTGGGAAGACAGTGAAAGCATTCAAAATTGTAGTTAGACAGGAGGAATAAGTTTAAGGGATGCATTGCACAACATGGTGACTGCAGTTAATGTATTGTATTCTTGAAAATCAAGAAGTGTTCTCACCACAAAAAATAAGTATGCATATGTTCCTGAGCGCAATGTAATCATTCTACAATCTGCTTATTTCTAAACAGGTTTTACATAACATATATTCAATTTTATTTGCCGTTTAAAAAAACTAATGGGTTGTAAAAATAATTAAGGCCGGGTGCGGTGGCTCACGCCTGTAATCCTAGTACTTTGGGAGGCTGAGACGGGCGGATCACGAGGTCAGGAGATCGAGACCATCCTGGCTAACATGGTGAAACCCCATCTCTACTAAGTATACA